ACAGGATTACTCATTTGTATNAGAGAGAGAGAGAGAGAGAGAGAGAGAGAGAGAGAGAGAGAGAGAGAGGGAGGGAGAGAGTGAGAGAGAGGGAGCGAATGAGCAAAAGAAAGTGAAATATATAGTCAGATTACACACAAAAGGAATGTTTAACGTTAATTTAAAGTTTACCATTCGTTACCTCTTCGCATAATAATACAATATAAAAATATATTTTGTTTTATTTTACAAAATTTGTTAATTGTATTCCTGTTAAATTCGAAGTTCATTTAGTGACAGTATTACATTCGTTTTTTATAGGAAAAATATATCAGGTGTGGCAAATTGGATTGATTTTCCTTTAAGAATTTTATCCAGAACATTAATGACTGCAGAGAGATAATGTATAATAAATGAGTGATTAATAAATCGCTTGTTGTCCTGTGTTAATGCCTTATTACAGGCCATGCCGAAATAATAAAAAATAATGACAAATATCTTTAAACTTGTGACCCTAGGATAATCATACTTTCAGCACAATTTGTTTTATGTAAGTAATTTCTTAATTGGCCAATTATTTTCTATAGACGGCAATAACTAAAATAGAACCGATAGAGCAGAATAAATTCATTACGATAGTTTTGTTTGTTGTTTATATTTATATTACGAAACATAGTTTCATGGGAATGGATAAAATCGATAGTTTGATAATTACTTATCATCTTGGTTTGCCTATCCTCTCTGATTTTGTCAGTCAGACGCGTTCAACAGTAAAGGTGGCGAAATGCTGAAACGCATCTGACAAACGGTCGTCTCTGCGATAAAATATCACAAAAAAATTTACATCTTGTCGTCTATATTTAATATTCATACACGTTTATTTTTAAATATGTAAAAAAAATATTTTACATCAATATTTGAGTTTGTTTTACAATTTAAGTAAAAAACGAGTTTTTTTATGAAGTGATGCTGATCTTAAACTTTGTTATGTAATTATATTTAGTGGATTCAGTAGATAAACCGTAATTGAATCTTTTTTAGAAATCGATTATACGACGAGCGGCGAAAACTATTAAGCAGAAGTAAAATTTCTTATTCAGGATTGACCGGGATCGTTTAAGCCTGCGTGCTGGTAACTGCAAAGTTCCGCTTACTTTTGGCTCGTTATCTGCTAATTTCAGTAGAGTTGATTTAGACGCTAATAGATTCGAAACACCGAAAACATTTAACACTTTTTTTATTTTATTGTATTTGATATATTTATTATTTATATATTTATTTACTTATAGTCGGTTGAAATTACCAAAAAAGTATATTTATGTGCGTTTAACTTGGCTCTTTTTATGTAATATTTTTTAAAAGCAAAATATCAAAACTTCACTTACTGTTCCATCGCAGAGGTTTCTAACAAAACATGGTAGGATGACTTTACTTCCGGCCTGAGCTGTTACAATGCTGGCGTTGCGAGTCATGAAAACTACTGCAGGCTGGACTTGTTACTGTTCCAATTCTTGATGCCGTGATCGGGTTTTGCTTCGGTCCCCCAGTCGTTATGACCTGTAACATATGAAAACTTTTCATTATGAAATATGAAATAGGTTTTATTTAGAATAACAGCTGAAAAATATACAAAAATAAATTGTAATTAGTTATAATCTTATCACACCGACTAAATGACATTAAATAATATCTCGTGGTAGATCAGTTAAGGTGTAAACTCACAACGCCAACTACGGCCCTGGAAGTGTTATTAACCTCCCACCACTTCATATATTAATACAAGGAGAAGCCAGAGCAGCAGCCCACAGGCTCATAAATGGACAACCATCAGCAAGGATAGGCCATGTAAATAAACAATGGAAAATGAGGGAGGAGATACAGGCAGATGCCTTTCTAGGCATACCAATTGATGCCACCACTCCAAAGTACAATTTTACTAAAACGTACAAGGTACTGATGGGACCTTACCAGAATGGGAAGATGGGCCAAAGGAACACCGCTAAAGCAAACACCTACTGGTACACTGACGGCTCCAAAACTAGCAGAGGCACGGGGGCTGGAATTTTCGCTATGAATCCAAAGACCAAACTGACGGTAAGTCTACATAAACCGTTTTCCAGACTGAAATCACACTGGGCCAGGGAAATAAAAAAACTAAGAATACATTAAAGACCCTAGCCCCACGCGAGGTGAAGGAAAGAGCGTCTGGAACTGCATGGAGGCGCTGGCAGAAGTCAGGAACACCAATGACCTGACCCTGGCATTCCGTACATAGAGGCAATGAGAAAGTGGACATGTCGGCCAAAAAATGAGCCAATATAAATTCTCTAGGTCCCGAACCCTACTAATTCCTAGCACTTTGCACAAAAAAGGATGCTTCCAAAAATGAAACCTTAATGAGTTCAAAACTTGGTGGAGCAACCCCCAAGCCATGAGGCACTCGAAGAGAGAGAGACCATCTGCAAAATTTACAAAGGAATTACTGGAAGGCAACCGCAACCAAATCAAGATACTGGTTGGACTCCTGACAGGGCACTCCCACTTAAGAAAGCACCTTCACCCGATAGGAGTACAGACAGAAGAAACACTGTGCAGACACTGCTAGGAAGAGGAGAAGACCGCAGAACACATTTTATGCTTCTGTGAAGGTCTATGTAGGTGCAGGTTCTTGCAACTAGGACAGGAAAAACCGCAAGCAAGATCCTACACTAAGGAGCCGCTAGCAAAGCTATGGAGGTTGATTACCAACCTGAAGCTGGCCAGTTGTAAAAAATAGGATAGCATAATAGATTTACACAGGTCAAGGTGCAGAAGGGCCTTATGGCCGCCTCATTTATCCCTATCTACATCACCCTAAACTAGGATGGCCTCGAGACAAGCCCCCTAATATCTGAGATGGAGTACTAAGCCAACTTCTCTTAACAAGTGTCCTCCGAGTGAAGAGCTGGCCATAAGGTAAATGTTCTGACCGGGAGAAAACACCATGTAGCAACATCGGTCCTTCATAGACGAAGAAAAACTCACAAGTGGATCATTTCCGAAATTCACCAAAAACTATACTACAAAGCGATTTGTGTACACCAGAAATTGCTATCTACAGTTCTTTTTGAGGATTTGTCAAAGTTCCTTATTATGTAACTAACATCACTATCCACAACGACCTTCCATTCCTCTCGTCGTTGCCATTAGGCATTAAGGGATAAATAGGTCTAGATGCGGGTTCTCGGGATGGGTATGTGTAGAGGGCTCTAGCAGTAGGGTTAGGATGGATCGCGAGGTTGGTGTGAAACTGGGAATCGGGAATAGATCAGTTTGTTGATAAAATGGATGTTCGGGTCGTTGTGGATAGGAAGGTTAGTGACGTAGTAATGAGCTTTGACGATTTGTCTGAGGACTATTGATTGGAAAGATTGGCTGGCTTGGCAGAACCGCACAGTCCCACTCCGTATGTCCAAAGTGGTCGCAGTAAAGTCTTGTATAAGGTTAGTTGAGTTTTGACGGTCAAGACGGATTTCCGTCCTAGGAGTCTTCCTAGTTGTCCAAGTTTTCTGTTAAAAAATTGTCTTTTAACTCTTGTCTTTGGATTCCACGTTAGACTGTTGTTTAGGTAAATCCTAGATATTTTACTTGAGTGTAAGTCGGTACCTCTTTGTTGTTGATGCCCAGTCGATGGCAAGACTGTTTCTTCAATGTGAACGTACACTGAGTACATTTTCCTTCATTCACTCTTGTTCTCCATTTTTTGCACAAGTGAGCTCAAGGTGTTCTTGGATATTGGAGTCAGCTTGGGTAGGATTCCAGTTTCGCGGGATCGTCCGCATAGGTTGTGATGATAGTATTAGGATGTGCATTTATGTCAGCAGTATAAATGATATCAAGGATGTGACCCAGAATGCCCCCTTGTGGGACGCCGGTTTGTATCGGTCTGATTTTCGAGAACTCGTTGCCTCACTTCACTCTGAAACAGCGATCTGTTAGGTATGATTTCAGGATAAGTTAATAAGGAGGACTGGGTAGGAAGCGTTTAAGTTTATAAAGCAAGCCCGGGTGCCAGACCCTATCAAAAGCTTCTGCTACATCTAGAAACGCACCCAAGCAGTACTCTTAAGATGGAGTATTGGTAGTACACCATAACTACCAAGGGGCTTTAGTTTCATAGCCTAAAACACTGCATAAGGAGGCTTTAAGTTTTTAAAGATGAGCTTGTCTTAACGTAGCATACTTGTCTCATATTACCGATGGAGACCCCGCTCATTCTCTCACCTTTACACATTTATGTATAAAAGGTTGCTTTCAGGCCAACAGGCCACTAAGATTCAAGGAAAACATTTAGATCTAAAGAGAACCATCGCAACATTCTAGAGACAAAATATGTAATAAAAAAAAGATTTTTGTATATCATCTTCAGAAGGATTGAAACCTCTTAAGCGCACACCGTATGATTGAAAACGACGATGTATTAAAAAAAATACATTTAAAACACGAATTTTACACATTATGTCGTGTTTTTATCTAGAAATGATTAATCGAACGAAATCGTTGGAGAAGTAGGCGAAATCGAATTCGAGAGGGAGACGGGCGCCCCTCCGCAATTTCGATCTGAATCTTGCTAATCCTCTGTAGAACGGTTTCTACGCTAATCCGTCCGTCCAAAACGTCCAAAACGACCAAAATGGATTTGAACGATGAAGATAGTCGTTAAACATACATTGTCTTTTTTAATGTGTTTTTTATACATATTTCTTTGCCTATTTTATTTTATATTTTGTTTTCTATTGAGAGGAAACTTATTTCTGATGTCTGTAAATTGGTTGATCTGGTAGTTTGAGAAATGTGAGAATATTTGTGGTTCTGATGGTTTATGAGAATTTGTATGGATTTAGATTCAGAGTGGATTTTTTTTTTAAATCTTGTCTATTTGGTCGTTTAAAATAAAGTTTTATGAAAACTGATTGAAGCGAGTGGGGAAAAACGGTGGAAAAGGTTTTCTTTCGTGTGAAGCCGTATCGATATGCAGCGACTATCGGCGATTCCGATCCTGTCCTCGGTTTATAGCTAATATGGCGCTGTCACATTCTCGTGAAGCATAAAAAGTCAGGCTTTGTCTCATACTCCATCGGTTAAGGGCTCGAGTCGAACCGCCGGTTTGATAAAGGGCGACCTCGGGACGCCGGACGACGTCTCAAAAGTGATATCGGAGTGAGAAAGTACCGCGCCACTCGACACAAATCGAAATATCCGCCTTCGAGGTGTTTGACCCTAAACAGAGGAAAGTGCCGCTGCTGGGAGCGGAAAAGTGAAGAGGACGGGAGGGAAAAAACAACAAAATACACCGGTACCTCGGACCACTTTTCTCCACTTTACACGATCCTGATTTCGAATTTGTAATCAACGTCGCCCTTATCCACAAAAAAAAAAGGTGAGTCCAGATTGCTACTAGGTTTATATTTATATTCGCCGGTAGGACAGATCCCATAAAAAAGTAATAATAATAAAAATAATACCACGTAAGATTTCATAAAGACATTAAATTGTTTTTCACCATTTATTTTCCATTTTTCCTCTTCTGTCCTCGACATTTATCCATTATCTTCCCTTTCCACCTGGCTAGCTTGTAAAAATAACAACAATAATAGTGAAAAGGTTTTCCGCGTTTCCCCTTTTTTCCTTTCCCACTGTTTTTTCCTGGAACTGATTTTTTTTTCGATTTCGATCCCTCCCCCCTCAGCAGCGCCATCCTTTGCTCTTTTATAGAAAACCTTATTTTGGAAGTAAAACCCGTGGAGTCCGAGTCGACGTTTTCGACTGTCTCTTCTCTCAGACGTTTTTATATTTATTTTATATTTTTTTGTTTTTTTGCAACTGGCTGTGGTGAGTACTTCTCGCTTTTAAAATATTTAACGATAATTGTGTTTAAAAAAAAAAATGAAATAAAAATAAAAACGGATTTTGCACTCGACATCGAGAAAAGCCCTTCGGATTATCAAAAGAAAAGACTCCTATTCACACCTTGCCCTTTAAACTTAATTTTTTTCGGTATATTTTTACGATTTTTAAAAAACAACTTTACATCCTTTTCTATTTTTTCCCGTTTTTTCATCAATTCACTTGCACTTAGTGTTTTTTTTAATTTCCTCCTTAATTTAATTTTTTTTACCAATAGGAAAATCGATGGGATCGACTGTAAAAACTCTTCTCTCATAGTCGATACGGTCGAGCCAATGTCGAACCGTGCAATTTGAATTAACCAAAATAATCAATTAGACACATCCGCGTTCGCCCGGTTTTTTTTATTTTTTTTATTTAAATTTTTTTTATTGGATACTTTTCGCGATTTTGGATATAATTGCAATCCACTTCGCACCCCCGGTCTACTGGATAACGCATGTTCTGGCTTTTCTCCAGGCCCCACCGGACACAATTTCCAATTTTTTTTTTTTTAATAATCGAGAGAGAGAACCACTTCAAAACAGCAGGTACAATAAAATTTCAAAACTTATTCATTCGTGGGTTATATAAAATCTCATTCCCACCTGGAACATTCACACTAGCGTACATTTCAAAATACTCGGGCATTTTGACCATTATTAGATCTTCCTGTTTTGCACAGGCCTTTAATCTCCATGCACTATGATAAATTTTCAATCTACTTCATATGGGGACTCTTAAAATTAATTTCACCTAGACAAAAAAGAAATAATATTTCATATCCGGCTTACTGTTTTTATTAGGATTGTGTGCTTCAACTAGGAAAGCATGTTACTTGTCACAAACATGGGTACTTCTAACCATGTGAAATGTCACAAATAACCTTTTTTCATTGGTTTCATATATGTTGAAAAGATCAGACAAATTGGATTATTCTGTTTGAATCTGGACATAAAATCAGTGATGACAGATTCTTATGCCGGTGAACACAGTATGACACTATTTTTGTGCCATTGGCTTTGTGGGCATTCTCAACATGGGGTAGAGGATAAAAGAGAAGGCATCAGCCCTTCTGCATCTCGACCTGAGTAGATCTATTGTGCTCTCCTGTTTTTCACAACTCTCTGGCCAGCTTCAGGTTGTTAATCAACCTCCATAGCTTTGCTAGCAGCTCCTTAGTGTAGGATCTTGCTTGCGGTTTTTCCTGTCCTAGTTGCAAGAACCTGCACCTACATAGTCCTTGACAGAAGCATAAAATGTGTTCTGTGGTCTCCTCCTCTTCCTAGTAGTGTCTGCACAGTGTTTATTCTGACTGTACTCCTATCCAGTACATGTGCCTTCTTAAGTGGCAGAGCCTTGTCAGAAGTCCAACCAAAATCCTGGTTCAGTTGCAGTTGCCTTCCAGTAATTCCTTTGTAAGTTTTGCAGATGGTGCTTCTATGAATCTCTTCATGTGCCTCATGGCTTGGGTCTTGCTCTTGCTCCACCTTTTTTTTATTGGTTTAATACATGTTGAAAAGATCAACAAATTGGATTATTCTGTTTGAATCAAGACATAATATTAGTGAGGACAGCTTCTTATGCCATTGAATACAGTGTAACATTATCTTCATAACATTCCGAACAAGTGAAATGACATTCAAAACAGGACCTGTCGCAAAGATCAAATATTTTAAGTACGTTTATTTTCTTTTAACACATGGCATGACTAATGGACAGCTTCTTATCTTAGATCTTCCTCAGTTTTTATATTTTGCTTTCATATCACTGTTTTCAAATGATGAATCATTCTTGATTGGTTCATCTTTTTTGATTTAACACGTGGAATCAGTAATGACAGTTTCTTATGTCAATGTATGGCACTTTTTTTTGGGGGGGGGTGATCAGATTAATCGGTACTGACAAGCTATTTTCTTGACTAGTCAAGCGAGCGAAATGTCATTTTGATATAGATCAGAGACAGTATGTGAAAGTTGTTAAGCAGTTATCTAGTCACTTATTCACCACATGGAATCTGTGATAACCTTTTCTAATCATGTTCATACTTAGTGTGTATTTTGTTTTCATGTGGCCCACTAGGCACTTTTCAAATGATGAATCATTTAAGGAGTTTTAGCTTGTTTTGATTTGACAGATGGAATCAGTGATGACAGCTCCTTTTCACACTGAAAAAGTAACTTCCTTAAGTGGTCATTTTGTTAATTTTCCTTTGACGACTGGCTTCCTTAGCATGATTTTCTTATCATGATGTTGCTACTTCATGGTATGCTTTCATGTGGCTAATTAGACACTTTTCAGATGGTGCGGAGTATGGCATAATGGTAACATTTCATCTTAATGTTCAGAATATTGACACTCGTTTGGAATCAACACATGGAAACAGTTGATCACTTCTTATGCCAACTAACTGAGTGTGACACAGTTTCTTTGTGTCACAAAGATCAGAGTTATCAATTTTGTCTCAGTCTCTTAATTTTGTATATACAGTACTGACAAATGAAATGTTGCTTCATTGTGACATCATCATCTAATTTAGTGTACCATTAGTACTTTTCTACATACAAGTAAAGAAGTAGAAAGTTTCTTCAGAAAGTAGAAAATATGAGAAAAAGAAATGGGAAATCAAGTGCATTTATCTAAATTCGATTCAACTCTCGGTATCAGTGATGACAGCTAGTTATGTCACATTAATGTAAAATAAAGTAACATGCTTAATGGTCATTTAGTTAATTTTCCATTGACAAATGGCTTGAAACCTTTCACTAAGATCAGAGAAAGTCATCGTTATTAACCGCTTTTTATCTCAGTTTTATTTAACACATGGAATCATTGATGGCAGCTACTTGTATCGCTTTAATGTGAAATGAAGTTGTTTTAGTGGATGTTTAGTTATTTTTCATTGACGAGTGGCTTTAGACTAAAATAAAAAAAAATAAAAATAAAAAAAACTAACTAAAATCAGTGAAATTATTATTATGGAATGATTTTATCCAATTTTGATTCAACATATGGAATCAGCGATGACAGCTCATTATACCTGGATGTAACATGAAGTAACTTCCTTTAGTGATCATTTAGTTAATTGTTCATTGATGAGTGGCTTTGGACCTGTCACAAGTGTGGAGTAATTATTCACTGTTAAGTGCTTTTTCAAAATTTTATTCAAAACATGGAATCGGCAATGACAGGTCCTTATGCTTTGATGTAACATGAAGTAATTTCCTTTAGTAGTGGTTTAGTTAATTTTTCATTGATGAGTGGCTTTGGACCAGTCACTAGGATCACAGAAATTATTCATTGTTAAGCGCCTTTTCAAAATTTTATTCAAAACATGGTATCAGCAATGACAGGTCCTTATACGTTGGTGTAACATGAAGTAATTTCCTTTAGTGGTGGTTTAGTTAATTTTTCATTGATGAGTGGCTTTGGACCTATCACTAGGATCACAGAAATTATTCATTGTTAAGCCCTTTATCACATGGAATCAATGATACAGCTATTTATATCACACATGAATGAATTAATGAATTACTCAAGTGAGTATATATCTGATATCTGAATAACTATCGATTAACGGTCACTAATCTCTACACATTACTGACTTATGTTCTTTGGCACAGTTTACCTTCATATATTTAAGGCTTTTTTTTCTTTTTTTTTATACTTACAAGCAAGTTTTGTACTTAACCCTGTCACAAAAGACAATTAGACACATTTCATTTTTGTACACTCTGACATTCTTGTAATGCTAAGGATATAAATTCTCTGTACACACAGAATAAGGTTTTTAAATCTTAAAAACATGGATCAACGTTTTGCTATCTAGCATCCCAGTGAACTGATAACAGACAAATTTGGTTACAGCCCACCAGCACTTATCAGAGCGACGAATCACTGATGCGCTGTTATTGATTTTTTATGGGTTTTGTGTAATTTCACCTTAATATCTGTAGCTTTTTTTCTGTTAAATTAACTCTTTTTAATTTCAAACTAACTTGTATAATGTTAGAAATTAACTTTTTTTAAATTCAAATTAATTGGCTACGGGGGTTTGGGAGAACTGGACTTCCCATGTATCTCGATGCTATGGTTTTTATTCACATCTCCAAAAAGGACCCTCGTAATGGATCTAAAATTAGAAAATTTTTATCCCTGAGAAGATCAGAGGGTACTCGGTCCGTTCGTTATGGACGTGTTGGTGACTCTGGTTCCTTGTTGACATATATCCCTCTCAGTGTTTGTTCATTTGTTGCTAATGTGTACCAATTAACTCCTTTTTAATTTCAAATTAACTTTTTAACGTCACTTTAACCCTTTTTAATTTCAAATTAACTTTTGTAACATCGCTAACTTTTTAAATTTCATATTAATTTTATTAATTACTCCTGTTTCATTTCCAATTAATCCTTTTTAATTTCAAATTAACTTTTTTAAATTTCAAATTAATTTTTTTAAGTAAACCTTTTGAATTTCCCATGATCCCTTTTTAACTTCAAATTAACTTTTTTTTATTTTTTATTTTTTGTAATTACCATTTTAATTTCAAATTAACCCTTTTTATTTCATATTAACATTTTTTAATTACCCCTTTTTTATTTCAAATTGATGTGAATTTTTTCTAAAATAAAATTATTCCAAACTAACTTGTAATTATCCTTTTTGCACTTATTAAAAAGGTATAAGTAAAAATTTTAATTTGAAGTTTGAAATGGTTAAGTTTGAAAAAAGTACTTACTTTGAAATTGAAAACGGTTCATTTGAAGTTAAAAAGGGCTAATTAGACATTTAAAAAAGTAAATTTAATATAAAAAAAGTTTAATTTGAAATTAAAATAGATTAATTTGCCAGTAAATGGCTACATATTTCTATATGTACTATGTCCGTCCTATATGTATTCATTCTTCAGAGTCTGTTGGACTCTTCACTGAATCACAATTATTACAGTTACAGGCATTTCTTAATTTTTGTGGGACTTCCTGTTGAATATAATTTCTCTTTTGCGTGGCAATCACATAGTATTGCCAATTTTAAGCTTCAAAGTGCAGACGACTTATCATTTGTCATAAGACCCATTGTTAAAAATTTTTTAACTTGTTTTTATTCAGCATATGAAATCAGAAGTCATTTTATCTCGATATACAATTCCTGAATCATTAAGACTTTCAAAGGATCAGTTGTTCCACAGCCTTTGCTCAGAAAACAGCAACAGTATTGTTGTGTAGCACTATTATTGTTGCTAAATTTAATTTTCATGGACTTTCTGTTTTGTTAAAGAATGATTATGATCAGCATGCATTAACAAGAGCTATTGATTTCAGGTGAAAAAATGAGGTTCAAAACGAGGCCCTTGGAAATAGTATAGTTTCAATAAATTTTATACTGCCACCGCTAAGGGGCTATTCGCAAGTTAAATGTAACTTTTATCATAAGGTAATGTGCAGGTATTGGCAATATTCATCGATAAATTACTCGTATAAATTGAACTTGCAATTTATTTATTTTTTCTTCTAGTAATTGTAAAAAACTAAAAACCCTTCAAACATGCCACTAACAGAGCAAATGGAGGTACCTAACCAGCAGTACTGCTTGCGATGGAAATATCACCACTCCAATCTTCAGGTTATGTTTGCACAGCTTTTAGAAAGGGAGAGCTTTTGTGATGTCACTTTAGCGTGTGAAGGAAAAACTTTAAGAGCTCACAAGGTAGGTTGATTTGAGATTTTACTGATGGGGATCCATTCCAAATGTTTATATACCGAATATTCAACAGTTTCTTTGGATTGTTTTTTCATTATTATTTTTATTTGACTAAGGAAGTTAGTAAATGATGAATTTAAACTCTTCTGTGTGAATACTAATTTAGAAGGAAACATATCAGTCTGGAAGACAATAATCCAGTAAAACACCTTGCAAGGTAGGATGGACATGGAATCACCGATTTTAATAGCACATTTTTTTATAATACTAGGTCAAAAAATATTAGGCACATGTTGAAGGTTCGTACCCATGGATCAAAGGAATCAAAGAAAAAAGAAAGTAAAAAAAAGCATTTTTTAAATTTTGTTTCTGCCTTTGTTGTACATGTATTCCAAGGTTATTAAACATCAGTTAATTTGTTTATTTATGTATTGTAAGAAAATAATAAGAAGCATTGCATTAAATGACTGTAGATACATAAAAAATGAAAAACTCTGTCAATAAAGTAAGTAAAAAAAAGGTTTTTGAAAAAAATATTCGTTTTAAGCACCATTTAAACCCCTTAAATACGAATTTTTATAGGAAACAAAAGGGACATTTTTGGTCTGAATCAGTCAGTAGAATTTTTTTCACCTCCATCCATTTTTTTTTTTTTTTCTCCGTAAATAAAACAGAAATTGAGTTATAAAATAAAACGTTTTGGAAAGTTTTTGTTTTTTTATCATTATTTTTTCACTTATAATGACATAAAGTGTACAGCTTGTTAACAAAGCCTGAAAGAAGAAGTTTTCCAGCGATTGTAACACTGTTGAATTTGGATAAAATCCAGAGGAATTACAAATATTTAAGTGGAATATCGGGCAACAGGAACAAAAATATTTGCCTCCGATTGACCATGCTCAAAAAAGTATTTTTTGTTGACTATAAAAATTCAATTTAAGGGCTTTAAAGGATGCTTAATAAAGTAAATCGAAATTATTTTTTTACAAAACAATTTTTTTGCATACTTTACTGAACACATTTGGTTTTTGACACTCTAATGGCTGGTGTTCCACTAAAAAATCAATAACTCTTCTGGATTTGATCCAAATTCAATGTTGTTATATTAGTTGGAAAGGTGAGTCTTTCTGTCAACGGGTAGATTTTATGTCAAGTAAGAAAAATAAGTATCAAATAAAACAAAAATCCTCAAACTTTTATTTCTCAGGGTTGTACTTTTTTAAAATCATTTTTGCCATTATGTGTAGTTAAATGGAACAAAAAATCAAATGCACTCCTTCTGGTTCACTTCATACTCGAGACAAGTGCATTTATATGGAACGAAACACTCATGCCAAAAGTTTTGCAGTCCCAGCAAGGTCTCCACAACGTGAGACAAGTTTCTCAAAACAGTTGTGCGAGTGAGTTTCGCACCGTGGAAACCTGGCTTAAGGGCACTAAATGGGCACTCAAAATGATTCAAATTTGTTTTTATTAAAAAAATAAATAAAGCCTACTTTACTATGTATTAGGGTGTTTTTTCATTGTCATAGCTTTTGATGTATCTACACTCATTTAATACAGCCCTACATGTTGTTTTCTTATCATATGTAAACAAATTGATTGATGCATAATTAACTTGAAATACATGCTCAACATAGGCAGAAAAACTTTTAAAAAATTGGTTAAAAATATTTTTTCTCGGCTCTTGAAGCCTCATTGGTAAGAACGCCCTTTCATTTGTCTAATATTTTTTTAACTAGTATCCCATGTTACTTGTTTTTCAAGACTTAATTTCATGTTTTGATAAATTTGAACAAATTGAACTTTTTTGTGTTAAAACTTGTTTTAATATTAATATCACTTATTTTGCAATTATCTCTGTTATGGTCATCAATTGCCCATATTTTTCTTTTCTTTTTTTTTATCATATGTTTTATTGTAGTAATGTTTGTTCCAGATGATGTTGTCTGCATGCAGTACTTATTTTGATTCTATTTTCTCAAAACATGAAGAGAAAGATCCTATTGTTATTTTAAAAGATGTTAAGTTTGACGATATCAAAGCTCTAGTTGAATTCATGTACAAAGGGGAAATAAATGTCGACAATGTATGTAATTTGTTCTGTTTAATTGTAAAATCGTTACTTTAATTTCACAATCCTTTGTTTAGTCACAACTCAGCACATTGCTTCACACTGCAGAAGACTTAAGAATAAAGGGATTGGCTGCAGTGTCATGGCGATCGGAAGGTGAGGGATCTTGGCGGAGCGTGGAACAAACGCCTAGTAGTAGTCTTCCACAGAATAAGAATCAAGTATATCAATACGGGCAACAAAGGAAAAAGAGAAGGCTTAATCCGGATTTCCTTTACGTACAGCATTGTCCAAAATTCGCTCGGATAAATTCCAACCAACAACCCGTTGAAGAATACGTGGTAAATCATCAAATTAAATAAAACATGGCAATAAATAAAATTTCGTTTAATTTTAGACTGATAGCAATGGCGATGAAGATAGCCAAGAAGGAATGTGGGATACACGCTCTCACGAAGATGTTTACTCAGAGCCGGAAGAAACCAAGCCCCAGGGAATAACAAATGTAAGCATATTTCTTAAGCAATTTGTAGTTTCAAAACTGTAAGCATACCACCTTTAGTTATAGAATATTGACCCTAATTTGCATGGATTCTACTCAGTCAAATACAAAAACAAACAAGAAAATCTTGGCTGATTAGGATTGTAGTGCAGCCGTGGTTGCCACTGCTTAAATAAATTTGTCATTGGAAAATTGTACAGCATTCATCACAGCCCGAACTAAAAGTAATCATTTTTACTTCTTAATTAATTAATTTATTTTTTTAACTTTGGATTAGGTGTTCTATTCATTAACTCATAAAAATATTAAGTTAAAAATAACTCTTCTTGACCTCTTCATTTTTATATTTATATAAAATTAGTTCAAGTATTATTTGTGTAGCTCAAAATTAACATTCAATGTAAAATATTGGTAACATTGTTAGAGGGGCTATTTAAATTTAAAAAATAAAATAAATAATCTGTATATAAAATTGGTGCCTGGGAAAAAAATGATTCTGATGACTAAAGCCAATATCAATTACACTCAAAATTAATTAACATGGGTATAAAAATATAAGTTGCAAAGTGAAAAGTCAAAACTAACCAGTCTTTCTGAACAGTAGTAGCTTATGTCTATTTTTCTAAAACAGGCATGCATGAGTTGATGTAAAGCAGACCATTCACGATTGCTTCAATTGAGTGGCTCTCCTTAAAAAAATAAAAAAACACCTATTAGAGATGAGAAAACCCACTCTTTTTTAAAGATCGAATCGAAACCGCTCATTCAGTGAAATGAATTAGTTCTTTTTTTCTGGCTCACCAAATTTATCTTACCTTAAACTTTAATTTTGGTGTGCTAACACCAGGGGCATTGTTTGGATACAGGGTTGTTACATTCTTATTTTACGAAAGAGATAACTAACTAAACCAAATTTCAATTAAATTAAAAAAAAAAAATGAAGGTTAAACAGTTTGTAATTTCGTTCACATCATTAACAACCCTGTAATTTTATTACCTTTTTTCTTGTGAACGAGTGAATAAAACAAAAATCAATGTACATAAATTAATACTAATAATCTCAATGCTGGAAAGTGGGATCTAAGAGCGTTGAAATGTGAATGGCTGACAGGCCACAGAAAGGCGCACTCCGGACGTCCTGGAGAGGTGAATTAGAAGAACAAGAGTGTTTGGAGCGGGGAGCAGCAAAAGTGGTTGGAGGGGTAAACAGGGTTAAGAGGGTAAAGTCAAGTTTAGAGACAAAATTCAAAATTAAGAGGCAATCTCTAAAAAGTTGGTATTGGAGCAATGGAGATATCAGAGCTGCCGTTCCTCTATATTTTTCCCCCTAACTCTTATCAGTCCACAAGTGGAGCCCCATAACTGGCATTAATGGTAATCCTGAATTGAAATAACATCTCTGCTGTTCACTCTCAAATGTTACAGTAAGTAACGTTTAAAGAATATAAATTTTTAATAAAAGACTGCCCCGTTTTATGTCTGCAATTGTATTGGATTGTCTGGAAAATAATGCAGGATTTTCATGATTTCTTTCAATTGGTTTATACTATATTTACTACTATTCACCCTTAAAAAAAAATTCCTTATATTTTTATAGTTTATGCATTTCATTAAAGTTATAAAAGAAGAATATAATCAAGTTTCCACAGGAGAAAAGTGAAAACACCAACTAAACTACCAGGGTGTATGTTAAAAAATTGATATATTTACATGTTTGAGCAGGGACTAGCAATAAACAAAACCAGGGACTATCTATCTTGTTAGCAGTGGGATCGCAGTCAGTGTGTTAGGTTCTCGACTTGTAGACCCCATGGTCATGGGTTCAATTTCCCCATCACCCTGGCCTTTTTGCAGGCTCTCCTCCCTCCCCTCCAAAAAAAAAAAATCCTCATATATCATCTATCTTGTCTGTCTCTGGTTAATATGGAAGACATTAAAATTATTAGCAGTGATTTCACCACAGAAAACGGTTGATCAAACATTACAAAAACAATTTTTTTTTTAAATTGATTGTTGTGATTAATGCAGCAATAGAGGCTTTGGATAATGGGTACATGGCTGAGCATATTATGCAAAATATGAATTAAGTGGCTTATAGATAAAGTCTAAAGTTAGGGGTGGTTAAGGATGTAATGTAACATAAGATTGCCATTCATTTTTTTAAAAAAGGGAACCTGAAGACTGGATGGTCGTGAATGCCTCCTCAAATTTCAGGCACACCAAATGAACCGATGCGGCTTGACACAGTTCCATTTGGAGCAATCGTGGATGGAAGGCTTTAGAAAGATTTTAAGACTTGTTAGAACATAAACCTTTCTTCAGTTTTCACAGGATAGAAATTAGGCCATTGCAATCAGTACAAACTAAATTTAACACAAAAAAAGTTAAGAAAAAACTTAATAAAATAATTAATTTTAATGCTTTAATTTCATTAACTACTATTCGTATTGTTTTAAGATTATTTTTACTAATTTGACTTTACATTGTAATATTTCTTTTCAGAGCAATATGATCACTAACAATAGCATTACAGTACCCACAACAGTTATCACTGAAAATGAAAGTTCAATTAAAGCAGAACCGGACCAGCCAGGTGAGTCTTTATTATCTAAAAACTTTTTTTTAAACAAGACTAAGAGTTCATAAAATTTTATTTGAAGGTAATATCTATCTTTTATAGAAACGGAATAGTTACATAATAAATTTACTACTGCTAATTTTAATATTATTAAATCTATTTACAGATAATATGTTTTTTAAAAAGTCAGGCTCTCGCAATATACATTCTGTCAATAAACTTATTGTTTACAAGTAAGGTAAAACAAATTTAAAAAGTTGATGAGAAAAAGAATAAAGAGAAAAACATCAACATAAGAGGATTTAAATTAATCTTAAACGGATTTGTCTTTTTATAATGAAGCAAGATTATGGTATATTTTACAGTTATTTATATGCAGGTCTGGATTGTTCTCACAAGACATTACCTCAGGGCTCCGTCCTTTCACCTATGCTTTTTAATATATTTGTAAGTGACCTTCCTAACCACACAGGTTCTCAGCTAGCGACATTTACAGATGTCACTGTAATATACGCCAAAGATTTTAATATAGAGGCAGCTAAGGAGGACTATGTGCAGAATGCACTCACAGAAATTGAATCATACAAGGAAAAACAGAAAATCACCTTAAATGCATCTAAATGTGAAGCAACATTTTTCCCTACATTTTCTTCAGCCCAGGACCCCTTGGAATTGATCAACAACAATCAAACCATCCCATGGAACGATAAGAAAAGACAATATCAAATATCTTGGCATCTATTTGGATAGGAGACTTACATGAGACAAACACATAAAGAAAAAAGTAGCTGAAGGATATGCTAGAGTTCTGCAACTCTACCCATTGCTAAATAGAAAGAGCAAGCTGAAATCAAAATTCTGCACATTGATATTCCAGGCATATAATACATTCCTTTATCTAATATGGGAGTGAGTTAAGGGAAGCTGCAGTAATCCAAAAACAAATAGAATTCAAGCACTGCAAAGCAAAATGCTCAGAATGGCGGTAGATGCCCCATGGTACATGAAAAACTCAACTTTATTGAGACTTAAACTTCCCTACCACTAAATAATTTGTTACAACCAAATCCAAAAAGTTCCAGGTTAATCCAGATCACGTGAACGGCGCCATTCACTTCAAACTGGGACAAAAGGTGAAGGACAGGCTCAAACCCTGTTTCCTTCAATATATTTTTGAGTGCTATGAATTCATTCCAGTCAATAAGTTAAATCATGAAATTGATTTATAAATGTAATAACTTTTCCCTGTGATATCTTTATTTATTGTTTTATATATAACTTGAGGAACCTATGTAACTGGTTGAACTTGTTAATTGCGTCTAATAATAACAGAAAAAAAAGACTACAAATTTTTCTACAATAAACATCTAATAAAAATCTGATAGAAACATTTGACAGATTAAGGACAGCATGCATATATGATCAGTAGCATTTATGAAATAGACTGTATGGGGCAGGCATAGGTTAGGTTAGAACAGGTCTTATATAAAGAAAGTAGATTAATTTATGTTTGTAACATTTAAGCCATATTTTTTAAATTTATTATTATTATTTATTTTATTTAGGTTTTATTATGAATTTATGAAGTGCTGATGTTTTGTCAATAAACAAAATGATGTGGTTAGATAGAGTTAGACTACTAACTGCATCCCTAAAGCCCATGTGATGGTTTTAAACCCGTCATTCCAGTCTGAAATTGAGCAGGCACATATACAGGTCACCGATTTGAACTCAAGTGCTCAAAGTGTATTCTCCTGCTCATAGGTCTTCTGACCTACCCACTACTAACACCCAGAACCTTCCGATGATTGATCACCCTTCCGGTTCATAGCACGATGATCAATTACCAACCAGGTTCAGTGACCTGAAAACAAATTCTCAATATCCAGGGATTGATCGACCTTCCCAGTTCTTAACCCATTATCAATCTTCAACTCGGTGCAGCAGCCTTATAATAAATTTGCAACAATCCAGTGAATGATCAACCTTCCCAGTTCTTAACCCATTATCAATCATCAACCAGGTTCACAACCTGAACACAAATTCTCACTATAGAGGGATTGATCGCCCTTCAAGGTCCATAACCAATGATCAATCACCAACCAGGTTCAGTGACCTGAAAACAAATTCTCAATATCCAGAGATTGATCGACCTTCCCAGTTCTTAACCCATTATCAATCATCAACCAGGTTCCCAACAGGAACACAAATTCTCACTATAGAGGAATTGATCGGCCTTCAAGGACCATAACCAATGATCAATCACCAACCAGGTTCAGTGACCTTAAAATAAATTCTCAACATACCATAAATGTTAACATGAGAGGATAGTGGAATGATTGGAAGCCAACTTTTTTTTTTTTTTTTTTTTTTTTTTTTTAATAGTTTCATTTAAATGTGAAATTGATTCTTGAGAGAACAACCCAGGTAGCAAATATCCATAACAAGCTCTAAATGTCACTGGTTGGAAACAATAGTTCTACTTACAAACGGGTTGATGCAATAATCCGGATTTTGAGCACAAAATGTTCGCGGCGTTCTACAATCTGCGTCAAAAAGCAATCTTGTGGGTTTCTATCTAACGATGAGCATTTAGTGCTCAAAATACGAGGATTACTTCATAAACCGGTTTGTGAGTAGAATTAGTTTCAACCCAGTGAATTGATATACTAACTCCATCTTAACTATTTCTGTTAATTTGCCTCCAACTAGTTGGTTAGTTGTCATTCCTTGTTTGTAACTAAACAATAATTTACAGATATACAGACTTCAACTCCCCGGACACCCAGTTCAATAACAAGTGGTCAGCCTATTAAAGCAGGTACTTTTTAATGTTTTAAGCTAATGAAATTCAATTTTAAAAAATTTAAGAAGTTTAGTTTTTTAAATATAATCTTGCACTCTAGTTTTTTTTTAATTTAATTTATATATCCTTATCTGACTGAAAATTCAATAATTATCTATTTTGTATTGATGAAATTAAGTGATATTATTTTCTGTAATTATTTTGCTTTGTTGTTTTGTCTCATTGCTTCTATTTTCTTCTCCTTCCTTTATTTCTTAGACTGGGTTCACATACATAATTTTTATTTTAATATATGTTAGGCTCATTTTGAAGTGGTAAGGCATAGCAGGAAAATCCTGGCCCCACCACCACCCACAAAAAAAAAAAAAAAAAAAAAAAGATGGTAGCAACTTAAAAGACTACTGGACAGATAAAAACTTTCACCTCAAAACAAACACCTCATCTATACAGCATTACTACAACCAGTCTGGTCAGAATTGAGCTGTTCTGAAGGTTCCAACCTTCAAAGAATCCACTCCTGTCTAAAGTCCTACAAACCATTGTCTAACCATCCTTACTTCATCAACTTTCAATCACAATAAGTTGATACAAATGCCTCCATAAAACCCTGGATGGTCATCCCAGCCTCCTAGTCTAACACCTTTTATCCTAAGGAATGATGAAATTTTTTTGTATATTTTCTTCCTTTGGTGGATGCAATTGATGTATTCTTGCTCATATGCTTTGGGACAGATGACCTCCTTTCAACCCTCATCCGAACTGCATAACAAAAAAAAAAGTTTATTTGTTATGCAGCAGTATCACCCATCTTTCAGCCGAACTAGACCCAGTGGTCTTCAGAAACCTCCAGGACAGAATTGTTTGGAAGAAATGTTTGAAAAATAGATGATTAGAGTCGACGAACCACCCTTCACCCTCGCTTAATGTCTTCTCCTCCAATGTACTAGATCTCTAACTAACCTCTATCTAGAACCAAAGAATCCAGTCATTCCAATCCAAAACCTGTGAACCATTGCCCAAGCTCAAACCCATTTTTCCTCAAAATTGCAAGAAGTTATAAAGAAACTTTGGTAAAACCCTGGACATTCACCCCCACCCTATTATTTCAACATGTTTCATTCTGAACCCTAGCTAACAATCCTTTAAGAGACCTGAAGCATGTGCACCCTCGCGATGAGGAAAGTGAGTAGATTTGTGATAAGAGTTACGGATTATTTCTCCACTCTCAACCAAGTAAAAAGAAAAATCTACAACTCTGTTCCTTCCAGCAACCATTGTCATCAGCTTTGTATCGACAAAAGATTTACCTTGAACTACCACACTCAACTCAAAAGAATAGAACTAAACAGATGGTATAAATAATTAAAATCCTTCAGCTAGCTATTTCATATCCAACCTTATTATCCACATCGACCGTCAAATCCCACTTCTAGAAACTGCAACAACAACAGATACCTCCATAAAGTCCTGGGCCCTCAACCCAAACCCGTAGTCCGACACTTTTCATCTCGAACCAGTAAAGAATAACAAATTTTTGGTGGAATGCTTTCGATGTGTTTTTGCCTTGTCCAAACCTCCAAAGAATCTAGTTACTCCAGTCTATGTTCCGTCAAACCATTTTCCCAAGCACCCATACTTTGTATCCCTATTTATTAACCACAAAGACCTTCAAATTGTCGATACAGGCACCTCCATAAAACTCTGGACTCATCCCAACCTGCTAATCGAACACCTTTCTTCCTGACAATCCTCTAAGACACCTAAATCCCAAATGGCCTCATGATTTCACCCCAAGTTAAGAAACTGAATATTCCAACTGTTTATTATTTACCCAAAATGGCATTTTATATTCAGAAACAAATCTTATTTTGCAATATTAGTTTTAAAAAAAAGTTTTATTTCCAGAATTAATGGATGTCATTAAAATGACCGCTTATATACAACAAGGCGGAAGAAGGCCACATTTTTGGGAAACGTCATCAACTAAAAGAGTTATGGAAGCAATTAAAAATAAAGAAATTGAGATGAAAGTGGCAGCTGAGCTCCTTGGAGTATCCTACGGCACCCTTTATGGACGATACAGAGATGCTTATGGCTGTCTGAAACATCCATACCGGTATACTTCATTGTTACCATATACAATTTATTTAAGAGTTAAAGAAAGCAAAATTCATCATGCAATGATAACATGAAATAACATATTTTGTAGGCTTTTAATAAAACTGGTTGTCTTCTACGATAAACATTCTCATACATGTTCAGAAACACTTTTCACTAGACACATTATATACGCACTGATAAAAAACTACATAGTTACAAAAAATGCAGAACGAATAGTTAAATAAGAGAATTGTGCTTTTACAAGCAACTACAAAACTCGTTATGAATTAATTTTAAAAAATATACGTGGAAAATACTTAAGGAATTATGCAGTAAGTGAGAAAATATACGAATTTGATATGTGGTTAAGACGTTCAAATGAGTTAAATCAAATATCTACAGAAGGATTTTTTTTTTTTAAACTAACAGAATAAGGTAAATATTAACTTGTAAAATAAGTCTGTAGATTTTTTTCAATAATTCAGGTTTATCCCTTTTATGTTTTGAAAGTTGTTTCTTTAGTTATTATTGTTTACACCTTTTTTATTTGTCAGTTTCATTTGAAATTTCATATTTTTTCAAGGATAGCCAATTTAAAATGAAGGAAAATATAGTTTTTTGTCATTTAATTTTTTTATTATATATACATATGCTACATCTCGGAGTGCTAGTGAAATTTAGAATGGTGATGCTTCAGGAGAAAGCATTGTACATGGTTTGCTTGGTTCAGATGCGGAAATTTTGATTTCAAAGGTGCAAATCGTTCTACTCGTCCTTCAACCGATGACGAGATGAAAAGTTCTTAAGAAAAAATGCTCAGAGAGGAAAATCCTAGAGAAAACACAACCACGGTTAACTCAAAAAGTTGGCTCCCAATCCGATGTGTGCATTGGGTGAGATTGGAAGGTGTTTAATTATCTTCTTCCACTCCAACAAAAGAGTAATTAATTTTAGTTTGCACTGCCCACATTCAAAGCGATTAAAATCGGCAATTGGTCAAAAATAACCCTTGGTTAATCGAAACAGCGTTTCTTTCTACCAGGGCCCACCCCCGTTTTATAGACGGGATAGAACTTATTGGAGCTTTGCCTTCATATTTTCTCTTATTCCGGGCTTTGAAAAACTATATTAATTGGAAAAGCTTCACCTTGGGATGACAGAAAACACATAGACATTGTTCAAAAACCTGCAAAGTTCTGTGAGGACTGTATTACAAAAACTACATGTAAGATGGCACAATGCACCCCCCTGCAACAAAATGGTCTGTATGTTCATTAATTTTGTTGACAAGCACCTGAAATTTTCTTTGAATTTACCATCATAAAACCCTACAGACTTATTTTACAAGACTTTTTTCCAATTTAACTACATTAACGTGTTTAATGCATTTTTATATTCATACAAGATATATACAACAAAGATCTTTTAATCAAGGTGAGTTATATTTATAATTATTCTACTAGTGATTGGTTTATTCATGTGCCATTAATGATTTTTTTCAAGTTCCAACATACATTTTCACTCTAAAGAATATTATTAATTTACGTTTTGAGAAAATAAAAAGTTATCTTTGTTTTATTGATTTCAATTTATTTATACACAAACTCAGCAACCTCCGTTTTTCACTAAAAGCCCTCTGTGTACTCAAATCATTTTCACACTCTAGATCAGCTGTTTAGAGGTAACGGGATTTCTTGTGGGTTCTGGTGTTACACAAGGTTGCAGCCTGAGCTCATTATTGTTCACTTTTTTCTCGTTTATCTCTACAAATGTCTTGGATACGGAATCGTTTATAGCCAAAGTGAAAATATTTAATGCCTTGTATTCCATGTCTGATCAGTGAATCAGTTCAGTTAATCTTAGAAAGTCCAACATTACTGGTTTCAGAGGGAAAGAATTTAAAAGAATTTTTTCTTCACAAAAATTTCTATTCAGGCATTTATATGTGAGAGTGCAAAAAACAAATATCAACTTTTTTAAAAATATATATTATTTTATTTTAACCTACTACTAGGTCATAAATTATTTATTTAAGTATCAATGATACCCATGCTACTTAGTAAAGTAAAAGTTTTTTTTTTTAATTTAGCAATAAACAAATTTGATATTAGTTTTCTATACTTAAAAAAACCTGAATACAAAGTTTTAGGAAAATGAAAAACTATTTTTTTCAAAAATGGCCGTAACTTAGTGTACAAAGTTTAATTGTGCACAAACCGAGCTTCTAGGTTGTAATGTAGCAAATACATTAGAACCCAATTCTAATAAAATAAAAATTGAATGTGTTTTTGTCTATTTCAACCTTATTTTTCATTATTTGTTGATTGATAAGGAACAGTATGCATCTGTTTGTCTTATTACGAGTTTGTCTAGGAATGGTATTTTGTTTTCTGTTTCGACTTCATGTGTAAATTTTAAGCGAGGATGAGAGGATGAAAGTTGTTTTCAAAGTCAAAGACCCAACACCAACAGCCTACAAATCCAATGTAATTTATAAAATTAATTGTATGAACTGTCAAGCGACATACAATAAACCCACAGCATTGGTCACACACCACTTTGAAAAAACCTTAACTTTGATTTCTACAAAATAGAAATACTAAACACGGAGAAAAACAAATACAAACGCAACTTTCTAGAAATGTTTACATTAACAGAGACACATACAGCATTAATTACAAAACAGGTACAAGCAAACTCAGCTGGAGCTGCGCCAACATCATAAAGCAAATAAACTATTAAACCTTATTTTTATATTTCCCTTTCAACTTCATTACCATCCTTAATAATTAACTTTCTTTCCAATATCAAATGCCGAATCACAAATCCAGTCCAGAAAATTTCCATTTTCGAGTTCCTTTGAGTTAAATAAAACTGCCTATGATCAAGGAAATTTCCCAGATTTATCATGCCCCCCAACCTGTTAGTTAAATAAAAACAGCAGAATACAAAATCACACTTTCACACGAAACAATATGACACTACAAGAATACCACCACGCTTTATGTGAGTATGAAATACTTGTTTCAAAATTTATATTTACATCTTAAATTGTTTCCAATCAACATATGATTTGTTGGAAGGTGGCCTTGAAGATGAGCCACGTTGTAAAGGTCGAAACGTCAACAAAAAATGAAAAAAGTGTTTTTCCTTCCTCATTCTTGACCACTCCTCACAACTTCAACGTGAATTATGAATGTTTAAGTTATGAATTTTTAAGTGGAACAAGTAACATTTGGAGGGGAAACAATGCCTCTGTTCTGATCCATCCCAAAAATTTCTATTTTTCATTTGCTATAAAAATTCACATTTGAAAGCTTTAAAGGGTATTTAAAACTAATCCAAATTGTTTTTCCAATAAAATTTTTTTTTGGCCTACTATACCAAAACTGTCTTGGTTTTTATACTTTTTAAATATCTAGTCTAATTTAATTTAGTTCTACTCATTATTTTCTTATCCTGGATTTTAAAAAATAAATATTGTTTATTGTTGTAATTAATTTTTAATGAGGGTTGTTGACAGCAGAGGTCATATCAACCCTTGGGGTGGAAAAAGGTCATATGTAAGTTTGTCAGGTTCGAATGCAGGGATTCGAACCCAGGACGTTCCTTTACTTTACAGTGATAAGCTCCGTGTCAACGCCTAAACCATTGTGTCCTCCCATATCCCCTAATTTCATCCTTATTTTTCTCACTTATAGTTACATAAAATCTTAACCTTGTTGATGTATAAAAGAGAAACAACCCAGCGTTTCGACGGTTGTCAAAATGTTGATTTTGGATAAAACCCAGAGGAATTAGGAATTTTTACGTGGAACAAACAGAATCTTGGAGAGTAAAAAAATGCCTCAGGTTATCCAGTTCAAAAGTTTTGTGCTTGTTTTAAATATCGTATTTAATGACTTTAAAATGGTGCTTAAATTGAATCCGATTTTTTTTTTATTAAATTGAAAACTTATTTGGACTTACTTTATTGTCTTTTCGTTTTTGTAACTTTAGCAGATTATTTTCTATCCTTGGTTAAAAAAAAATAATAATAATAATAAACTTTACATACATGCCCAACAAGGACAGAAACACATACTTAAAAAAAGGTAACTTTCTTAAAATATTTTTTCTCAGTTCCTAGCACTTCTAGGCACTAGAATCGGACGTTGTCTAACATTTTTTGACCTAGCAACAGCAAAAACATTTTTCCTTAAAATTGGTGATCCCATGTCCTTGGTATGGCCTTGTTAGTCATTATTTGTGCCTAAAGTTTTTAATTTCAGCTTAGAGTATAGTATAAAATAAAATTGTTTCCTTCCCCTTGAATTTTTTGAAAGTTGAGAGTGGTTATTAGCAGTTTCTAGTGTCAGCAAAAAAAAAACAAAAAAAAAAAAACTTCAGTGTAAAAATAAACTGATAGAAAATCTATTCAATCACAATGGGTATGAGAAAGCTTTTTCCGAATTTAATTACGAGCTCGTTACTTTCTTTACCGCATTAAGAGCATGCACTTCACTTATTTTCAGTTCGTGAGAAGTTGTGTTTTTAAGTAATCATAGGTTTTCTACTTTTCTTTTGCGTGAAGAAATAGTTAAAACTATTTCAACTGGAACTTCGATTTAAAAAATTGGCAACTTGCACAGTCTACAGTGAGGAAAAATGCATTTTAGTGGATTATTCTTATAGGGGATGAAATCAAAGGGAAGGATACATCTGCGTGCTACCGGTTCAACGTATCGGCGAAATATCGAAGTCGCGTAAAAGTAAAAGTGTTATGTTATATATATAAAAAAGTCCACCCCCCGCTGGCTTTCGGTTCTTTTCGCGGTGATCGTATAACCAATTTCGGACGATTTCCGTTATAGGGGGTGGGAGGCCGAGCCAAAGCTGAATCAATATTTTCGAGTTGGGACTTTATAAAATCACCGTCGCATGGTCTCAACCCTGTGGAACAATTTTTTTCCACTTTATGAGCGACCGAACAGCGTCCTTTTTTTTTCTTTTTTTTTTTAACAAAATCGGTAACGAATTTCACCCACCGCCCAGGACAATAATTCACCATTGGCCCAAGGAGAATTTTAATTGTGGGTTTGTCGAGGATTTTTTCCTTTTATTTAGCGAGAAATTATTAATCTCCGGTAATCCTTGGCTCATTAAAAAATAAATTAGAAATTTTCTTCATTAGAGATGGGAACACATTTATCTGCGCAACAAAATGTTTTATATTAATACCCTTCTCTAACTTTTTCTAATTAATTAATGAAGTTAATAGACCAAATGGTAACGAGATCTTTAAAAATATGATATAAATGGATTGCAAGATGTACAATTATTTTAACATATTCAATATTTTCAACTTTTGTTAATCTATTTAAGTGCGTACTATAGCATTTTCCCGTCAAATTAACCCTTTTTATTTTTAAATTAACCTTTTTAAA